TCTCTCTCTCTCTCTCTCTCTCTCTCTCTCTCTCTCTCTCTCTCTCTCTCTCTCTCTCTCTCTCTCTTTTCAAAAAACGACTTCCTGCTACTGGTAGCCTCCAGTAGCTCAAGGCTCGGCAAGGCTCGGCATACCGGTAGCCAGAGAGTCGGACTTGATAGCTGGGAAAGGTACTGGTGGTTTAAGCTAATCAACACTTGATGGAACTTCTCTGTTTGGCTGACTTCTTTGTGGCTTTTGCTGGCGTTTGCGTTTGCAGTGATCGGCCTCCAACACACATGGAGATGCATTCAATGCAGGAGGTCAACAACGGAGGGATTCCTTTGAAATATGCACTCGTTGACACGTCGGGAAGCGTGTCCTTTTTTAGCTTTACACCAGTTGACGTATCAATAGTTGATATGAAAAAATGAAATAAATATTAAAAAATTTTAAAAAATAAAAAATAAAAGAAGGGAGAGGGGGAAAGGGGAGGATGTGGGTCACGGAGCTGACTTGGGTTTTACCTCCTGAAAGACCTGAAAGATAAAGGACTCATGGAATGTCATTCCTTTTTTTTTTTTTGTTTCGGCGGGGGGTAAGTACCTTGGCCAGGGCCACTAGAGGGGGGGTGATACGAGCAACTCCCCCTACCATCTTCCCCTGAGCACAATGCACCCTCATATTTTCGCTGCACCACCGGAAAGATACCTTATGTACATTCGTTATCCGGGTGTGTTGTGCTCATGGGAAAATGGTTGTAGCTTTGGTGCAGGACTCATGGAATGTCGTTCTATTGTTCGAACTCCGAACAGTGGCTTTCTTTTTCACTCATTGTTCCTCTTGGTGCAATTGCTTGAATCGCTACGATCATCCATTTTCTTCTTTTTTTTTCATGCTATGTCTTTGCTGCAGTGAGAAGAGGTTAACATAGCCCTAAATTTTCAGGATTTTTTCAGGGTCATTATAACAAATGTCCCATACCTTGTACGCCAGACTTGTCACCAGTCCATGGCTGCAGTGCCCCTCTCCTCCTCCTCTCTCTGGTGTACTCGTAATAGTCTCGTATATGCTGCTGAGCGGAAACCAAGTCCAGTACCCCACCTGTCCGGACACGAATAAGCAGCAGCCGCGCTTCATTCCTAACTGAAAGCGATTATCATCTTAGTGTTGGGACAGACAGGCAGTGAGAAGCTTTCACCGCCATTGTCAAGCAAGCTGTTATTGCAGACCTCTGGGCCATATGACAGAATGGTACACACAGTACAATAAAGTGCACGCACATATAAGTGATGGCAAACAGATCAAGAGTTTTCGAATCCTGGTGGCCGGCCGCAGATGAATACAATGTTAGGGGCTAACTTGTGTCAGAGTGTCAGAAAGGAAGAGGTGAAAGAAAGAGCACACTTCAAGTGGAATAGAGCACGCACATTTTGAGAGGCTTTGCCGAGTTTACTCTCTCATGGAGGACACAATGTGCAAGTACAATGTCTCTGAGGTACCCCTCTCTCTCATTCAAATCATGGAGGACACAATGTGCAAGTACAAGGACTCTGAGGTACACTCTTGCAAATGGTTCAAACTCCAAACACGGAACTTTGTGAAGTTGTGAATGAAGTGTTGCGACAGAGAAGCAGTGAAAGGGTTTCGCCATCCGCCTAAAGCTTCAGTAACGGAGTTGATGCCAACATTCAAATCATGGTTTAAAGTTTAAACCACCAGTAGGTTTCCCAAATTCCCGGCCATTTTTTCAAAGTTGCGGCTTGCATGCTGCCGCAACTTTCAGGGTTCGGCCTCCAGAGCAAAATGGCTGGTGGTGCCAGCCAAAAGGAGGCCCTCGCCAATTTGTGTTTTTTAACTTTTTTTTGGTGCGCAGGGCGTTTCCAGCCCCGGAGAAAAGTGCCGTGGAAGTACTGTTCGTTTAAACAGTGCCAAACACTGAACATTTTTATGTTTGAACTTTGAACTCTGAACCAAGCGCTGTGACAGATCGGATTGGCAGTGAAAAGGATCTCACCTTCAATGTCAAGCTATAGCTACAGAGGTAATGATACTAATGAATGAGTTACCATGACGTGCAGAATGCTTTTCCGCAGTGAGTCTCCAATATTGACCGGTGAGGGTGATCTCTCTCTCTCTCTCTCTCTCTCTCTCTCTCTCTCTCTCTCTCTCTCTCTCTCTCTCTCTCTCTCTCTCT